GGAGGCAATAATAATCAACCTGGACTTATACATAATTAAGAATTAAACTTGTTGGGGTATAAGTACGTTTGAAGTAATTAGTAATTAGTTAGGGTTTTGTCACATCTTCAAGAGTGCCCACAAGAAGAAAAATGCAAAACCAAACCAAAAGAGAAGTCTGTTTGGAATGTAAACTCGTCAAAATAATTAAAGTAACAGTAAACCAGCTCACGTCTTCCACAAGTCAACTACACTCCAAACAAAAAATGCAAAATAATGGTGAGAAGAAGAAATTAAAGTGAAGAGAAAGCAGCCCGAGAAAAAAGTTTGCGTCCATTGGTTCTGCGTGGCACTGATGTAGATGATATAACATGTTGATTATCGTCTGTTATCATGATTAATTCGTCACTGTGATGAGCCTCGTGATATTGTTCCCTATTAAATTCTGGATGACGAGCTAAATTATGGGTAAACTACTGTAATGGTACCTTTTGTTAACATGTTGGTCATTTTTATTATTGTTTTATGACGTTTATTAATTTGGTGATGTGAAAAGTTAATAAAAGGGGTTGTTTTTTAATTTGACTCTTAAGTTTAAGATAAAATATCAGTTTAACCCTTGAATCTGACTAAAGCTCCCGTTATCAGCTGTTGGTCACCGTCGACTGCCCTCGTCTACAACTGTTTGACCTTAAAATTAATAATTCACTACTTTTTAGCCTATTGAGCATGAATATGATGTGTGTTTTATCGAAAAATGCATCAAACTTCATAAATCCCTTCATTGCTAAAGCTTATTGATTCTGACCAAACACATTTACAAAAAAAAATACATCACAACCAAAACATGCCAAAAACTAGGTAATGGGGTGGATAAGATGGGGAGGTACATGCCTCCTTGAATTTCATATGGATTCTTTCTCATTGATTGCTACAAAAGTTCATATTCAAGGATTGATGATGAAGCATATAAATGTTGTTTTCATGTATTGTATCTGTTAGTGTATGTAAATGCATGGCATATAAGTACTCGTGCAACTGCTTTGCATGATGGTTGTGCAGCTGATCAGTTGAAGCAGTTAGTTTGTTGTGAAATTAGTTACATCAGTTTCAGCTATAGTACTAGCTATAAATACTCTCATTGAGAATTGTAATATACACTCTCGAAGATAATGAATTTCAGAAGTTCTCTTTCGTTTATTCTCTTTGTTCTTACTTTCATAGCATAGACATTTGCTCATAATCTTTACAGTATCAGTATACAAAGATGGAAAGGTAATATGAGCTTTATTGAACTAAATAACAAAATATTATTATGAAAATAAATTTTGAGAGAAGTAAGAACAATTTGAATATCTTACCTCATTGAATTGTTGTATTTTTTATTCAATTCTGATTGTGAAAATATTACTATATGATATTGTTGCCATCCGTGATGTACTTGCATTTAACTGGTTGTATCATCTTTCCAGTTGGAGGAACTCCATTCTAATGTTGTAAACTTGAAAGAAATGTTCAAGGGTCAAATTGATGGTGAGCGATAATCGACGATGGGAGATTTTGGTTGGATTTAAGAGTTAAATTGATATATTATCTAAAGTTTAGGGATCAAATTGATATTTTATCTAAAATTTAAGGGTCAAATAAAAAAGTTAATTTCTTTTACTAATGTGTCTTATCATTAAACCGAACAACATTTAATTTCTGCTAACCAAAACATTATAAAACGATAACGTAAGTGATAAAAATGTTATAAAATAGTAATACAAGTTATCAAAATATTTTTTTAAATTCAATGAACAAAAATACACACTTAATGTGATCATCGAGGTAATTTACCCTTATTATTGAGAAAGTGAGAAGTTGTCAACTCATTTGATTAGGTTTTAGTTTGACAGAAATCACCAAACCACTGTTTAAGCTTTAGAGAAACAAAATGATTCACCGAGGTTGAAAACTTTTTAAATAGCGTTTGAATTCCCTCTAAGGCCTATACCATGTAACCTCTAGATGTAGTTTTGTATATATCCTAGTCGTCTATAACAAAAGGGAATATTTAAAGGCGTTTAGGAATCATGGACCCCAAAGTGTTTGAAAAACTGGATGCTGCCCGCACCAACTCCTTGATGAATTCCTGTCATGAAATTAATTACTAATATGCTTCTTAATAGCTACACTATCTTCACCAAGTCATGCATGGCTTATTCTTAAAGATTAGGTGACCTGCCGGTGTCTCACTGTGCCAGACTCCTCTCTATATATTACCCCTAATGGCTAATGCTCCCACCACCCTTCATCTAAACGCCTCTGCTGTTTCTATCTTGTTCTGGTTTATAATTTGTCAGATATAATGGCTTCTTCTTCTTCATTGGGTGTCATGTGCATGTTTGTTGTGGTGATTTCGATCTTGGGGAGCAGTACGTGGGCTGCGCTCTCCACAGATTTCTACTCGAAATCGTGTCCGAAGGTGTTCACTACGGTTGAGTCGGTAGTTGAATCAGCAGTGTCAAAAGAGCCCCGCATGGGTGCCTCACTCGTCCGATTGTTCTTCCATGACTGTTTTGTCAATGTAATTTACTCTGTTTTTAAAACCCTTTTCCTTCTATGCACATGCATACATCATGGTCATTTTAATAATGGAGTTTCACGTTGAAAGGTATCCATCTTTGATAAAGTCAAAAGTTGAACCCCATATACCTTTCAAACCATGCATGCATGACCCAAGCGAAATTCCATTCGTGTACTCAACAAATACGGGTGCTTATTTACTTATTGAGTATATGATGTATAATTATGACAGGGTTGTGATGGGTCAATACTCCTCGATGACACTTCTTCTTTCACGGGGGAGAAAACCGCGGGTCCCAATAACAATTCGGTGAGAGGATTCGAGGTCGTCGATGCCATTAAGGCCCTGGTGGAGAAAGTTTGCCCTGGTGTAGTCTCTTGTGCTGATATCTTAGCCATTGCAGCTCGGGACTCCGTTGTTATTGTAAGTAATTCAATGAAAAGAGTCAAACCCCTGAAAAGAAAATGATAAATCACTAGAAATGAACTTGAATTTAATCGGTGCAGCTCGGAGGGCCCGACTGGGACGTTAAGCTCGGAAGAAGGGACTCAAAGACCGCCAGCTTCTCCGCTGCAAATAGCGGTGTCATCCCACCTCCTACTGCCACCCTCGGCCAACTCATTAATAGATTCAATGCACGAGGCCTTTCTGCCAAGGACATGGTTGCATTATCTGGTACAATATTCTTTTTAGGATAAACTACGTATTTAATCGTCATTTATTCTCATAATTCTTTTTTGATCACTCAACTATTACTTTCTCAAAATCATATTTGACATTACATTTCAATTCCATTTTGATCACCCACCTTAAAAAAGAAGCTAAACAACTGATGTGATAATTTCTTTTATTTTTTTTCAATATTATGTGGTATTATATTATTGTGACACGTTAGTTTAACTGTTAATTTTTTAATGACGAGTGACCAAATATAACTAAAACGTAACATTAGATATGATTTTGAGAATAAAAATAGTAGGGTGACGAAAACGTAATCAAGGGAATAGGTGGGTGACTAAATATGTAGTTTACCCTTTTTTCTATTAAAAAAAAAGCCCTCCCTGTATGTTAGTTAAATTGGTTCAAGTTCATGGTGGTTCGGCAGGGGCTCACACAATCGGGAAGGCAAGGTGTGCGCTCTTTAGAGATCGGATATACAACGAAACGAATATCGATGGCTCATTTGCGAAGACAACGCAAAGTAGCTGCCCGAGAACCAGCGGATCAGGGGACAACAACCTTGCACCACTAGACGTGGAAACCCAGAATTCTTTTGACTTAAAATACTTCAAAAACCTGTTAAACAAAAAGGGTCTGCTCCACTCGGACCAGATACTCTTCAATGGCGGATCCACCGATTCGTTGGTTAAAACATACAGCAGCAACGTCAAGACATTTTATTCAGACTTCGTTACTGCGATGATAAAAATGGGAGATATTACGCCACTCACCGGATCTAATGGTGAAATCAGGAAGAATTGCAGGAGGCCTAATTAACAATTTATATCGTCCTAGGAGGTAGGAAAGTTACGAAGAAAAGTTCTACTTACCGCTCCTTATGAATCCAACAAGAGAAAGCAAAGTTATTCCACAAAAATAAAGCATGTTAACGTGTCAATGTGTGTGTATTTTGACGCAAATTAATGAATAATTTCTTCCTCAGCCTACCAATACAAACTCAATGGTTATTTTTTAAAAAATTAATCATTGATATCGACTAATCAAAATCGAGTTATACAAAAGACTATAATGAGAATTATCTCCCAACCCAGTTTGCTCAATTCACAAACGTCTGAATTTGAACACTTGAATTTATTTAAAGAATCTAGTATCTAATTTCATTAAACTAATTTATTGATTGTAAATTCAATGATTATTTTAATAAGACATAAGATTAAAACTAATACATAACGCCAAATAAACTTGAATCTTAAACAAAATCTTACCAAATCTTAGCACCAGTTGTTAAGCAAAATGATTTTACAGGTTGTGTATATTTTCCTTGGATATTCAAACACGTAAAGTACTGTTGCTTTCTCTTCTTTTTCTCGCATCATATTCATATACTTAAAGGAGTAAGTTGAAAACAGACGAAAGATAACACATTGCCATCCCTACTAGTCAGAGGCTGAGCAAAAATGGGTGAGACTGGCACATTAAAACTGTAAACATCAAAATATTAATATTATATACAGAACGGTCATGTTTATATAATTAATCAACCTTTTCTAGTAGCAAAAATGTGTGTTTTCAACTCTTCATTTTAGTCCCAGTCAGGGCCGTCTTGTAAATTTTGGTGGTCCTATGCCATAACTTTAAAATAGGCCTTTTAAAACTAAAATATTAGATATATAAAGAAGTTCACTAATATTTCAAAATTTATTATAACTATAAGAAACGTTAAATAGTGGTAAAAAATATCTTCATATAATAAAGTGAAATACAAAGTAAGCTATTCTCTAAATAAATTCGTTCTCCTAGCATTTTTGGAAGCAAAGTTATTGACTAGCTCTTTATAATCAAGACTCTCCAATAGATCGTTTTCAATAGCTATCAATGCCAATCCATTAAGTCTCTCTTGTGACATTGTGGACCGCAAGTAAGACTTCAATAACTTCATTTTTGAAAAACTTCTTTCTGCAGATGCCACCGTTACTGGAATAGTCAATAGTACTCTAAATGCAATTAGTGCATTAGGAAAACAATCGACCTTTTTCATAAATTTTAAAACATCAGTAGATCTCATATTTTCAGCTGGCAAGAAATTGTTAAGTAATCTTAGCTCCACATAGAGTTCATTTGCATCAATATCTGATCGTCCGTTTTTCTTGAGTGCATCTTCAAGATGACTACAACATGACTTAAGGTGGTTGTCATCAAAGAACTTCAACTTGTCACAAGAGAACAAGAAACCAAAATTTTTCTCGTACTATTTGTATTGTTCAAACCTTGTTGTAAGAGAAGCAATTGCCTGATCAACAATATACAAGAAGTAGTTTGACTTTAAATGACTCCTCTGCAGAAAAAGAAGCATCTTGATTAATTGAACTCTCGTCAAATTGTCTTTTCCTACGAATTACACGTCTTTGAGGGAAGATAGGATCAACATCCATTTCAGTTGCAATTTGCTTAGCAATATCGACAGCTTTCGAGAACTCCGTGTTTCTAAACTCCTCAAAGAAGAAGATCAAACCTTTCACTTCTTTAATAGCAACATCAATAAGCATATCTTTGGATTGTAAGTTTTTGCTCACTAAATTTACGGTGTATAATATATCGAACCAAATGACAATCGAAACTAAAAACTCAAAATCGCCAAGCTCATTTGTTGCTAAAGATTTAGCTTCACTTTTTATTTTGGAATCATTGTCGTTCTCTGTAACTTGAAGTAAAGCTTCTCTTACTTCCACAATCTGAAATCTAATAGCTTTGACACTATCAACACGACTTTCCCAACGTGTGGTTGACAATGACTTAAGTGTCAGTCCTTGAACATTATCCTTCAAAATTTACCACCTTTTAGAAGAATTGGAAAATATGGCGTATATGCGCTGTATTACTCCAAAAAAATCTCTAGTTTTTCCACAAGTATTAGCCATGTCACATAATGCTAGATTAAGACTATGACAACCACAAGAAGTATAAAATGCTCTAGGATTTATATCTAGAATTTTCTTTTGTACTCCCTGATGTTTACCTTTCATATTCGATCCATTGTCATAGCCTTGACCACGCATATCATCAATATCAAGACCAAGTGACTTCAATTCATCTTGTGTTGTATCAAAAAGTCCCTGACCAGTGGTATCATTAACATTTAAAAATCCTAAAAAAGATTCCTCAACACTGACACTTGTGGATGAGAAATTTACATACCTCAATATCAAAGTCATTTGTTCCTGATTGTTGAGTTAATCGATTGACGGAATCGGCCAAGAGGGGGGTGAATTGGCAATTAAAATTTTTGTGGAAGCTTTTGCAAAAAATTGAAAGTAATTGCACAGCGATTTACAGTGGTTCGACTTTCTCAAATAAAGTCTACGTCCACTACCTTAGCTATCCACACTAAGGATTTTCCAACAAATTCACTAATTTGTTCTTTCTTTTGAGGCCAAAGAGATAACCTTACAATTCCCTCAAGAGTATACCCCAACTCTTGAGAACACTCTTTTTCCCAAAGAGAAGATTACAAATTTGCAAACTTACAAGAAAACCTCACAAGGTAAGATGTTTGCACAATTCTAGAACAAAGAAAAGAACACTCAAAGATGAATACAATTGAGCACAAAAAGTGTTCTTGAAAGCAAAATGAATATTGAATGAAAATAGGCTTGAAATGCTCAAACTTGAGGTTTGATGCTTTCTCTTTGATTCTCTCTTGATTCTAGTTGCTTGATGTTTCTTGTTCTTGATCAATGGCTCCAGAACTTGTTTAAATACCCCTTGAATCAATTCTGAACGTTGGTGATAATTAGTGGGGATAATAGAGCCGTTTAAGTGTGAAAACAATTAATTTTTCTAGGTGGAGCGTCTCATGCATCGATGCATGATCAAGTATGCATCGGTGCATTTGTGTAAAATTCAAATATTTTGACCGTTGGAACACTTGATGCATCGGTGCACCAAGTGTGCATCGATGCATGAAATGCATTCGATGTTTGAAAAATAGCCTGATGCATCGATGCATGGCTTGTGCATCGATGCATCAAATGCATTCGATGTTTTGAAAATATTCAGAGTGCATCGATGCATAGAGAGTGCATCGGTGCATGGAATGCATTCGATGTTCAATTAATTCATCGATGCATCGATGCATGGACTGATGCATCGGTGCATGCCTTTGAATAATTGATTTAAGGCTTGTTTTTGGTTCAAAATACTTTGTGAAAATTGTTTCAAAAATAGTTTAAGTACAAATCACAATTTTACACATTTAGTAAGGTTTAAAATTGATCTTGAAAAACTTGGAGTAATAATTTGATATTCGGTTAATTGAATCGAATATAAAATTGTAAAATCATTTGTAAAATCTTAAAATTCATTTAACTTAATTTGTTATATCGAAATATCAAAAATGTTTTCAACAATCTCCCCCTTTTTGATATAACAAAACATTTGAGTAATTTTAAGATTTGTTTGAAATCGATTTTGAAAAACTTACTCCCCCTTACTGTAGCACATCTTAAATTTTCTCCCCCTTTTTGTTAAATCAAAAAGACTCTATAAAAACGTTTTAAACAAGAATTTTAAAAAAAATTAGCCAATTGATTTATTAATAATAAGCTGCTAAGATCACAATCAAAAGAGAGATTAGCCATTAGTTTTCATAAACAATATTCATAATAAAATGTGAAATGGCATAATTGGTCATAAATTTCTAATGATGCAAAATTAATAAACAGAAAGCGTTAAAATGTCAAACCAAATATATATATAATAAGTTCAAGCATCCTCAAACAAACATCCAACAAATAATCAAGTTCAAAGTACCAAACAAAGCATAAAAATCAAAATCAATCCAAGTTTTAAAACAAGAAAACATGACAAGCAAGTCTACTCCATCGGAGGATCGGGAGGAGGAGGATAATGAGCTCGAACTTCAAGAGTCAGAGCATCCATACGATCACGCATCTCCCTCTGAAACTCAGTAATGGTAGACTCAATGGAGACAAATCACAGATCAAACGACTCTAGAAAAGATCGGAAATAAGGTGGCGTTTGATCATCTTGCCGAGCTGGTTCCGGTGCAGGCTCAACATCATGTACTTCCTCGTCAATATCTCGCATGAGCCTTTGAAGCTCTGGATCATCATCAGCGTCAGGAGCTGGAGGAGGAGGAGGAGCATGGGAAGAACTAGGAGCAGCTCGAGAAGAACTAGCTCCCGGAGTTGGCTTATTGGGTCGAAAGACCCAAAGACCGATTCGCTCATCCTGAATCCAATCTGCTTTCTTCAAAGATGTGAGATTGATTTGATTTTGGAGAGGGATAGGAGTGTCGAGAGAAACGTTTAAACCAAGTTTGATAAACAGGTTACTAAGTAGACAACCGTAGGCTAAGGTTTCAACATGTTTGGAAGGGACAATATTAACGATGTCTACTAATTGACTGAATATAATTTGTGGAAGATTTATTTTGATTTTATTTTTAATGCAGTACATCCACCACAAATCCCTATTACGAAGAGTGGAGTAACGACCAGTCGATGGTCTAAACCACCAAGAAATAATGAAGTGAAGAAAACGATCGTGATGAGTTCGAAGAGAACTGACACTCGCATGAGGGATATAGGGATAATTCACATTCTCTTTTTCATCAAAAGCACCATTATCATCTAATCCGAAATGAGTAGCAATGGTTGCGGAATCAACCACAATGTATTGTCCTAAAAGGTAGGATCTAATACCGATAGTTCCACATTGGGTTTCATTTTGAATGCATACCGCATTTGAATAAAAAATACGGACAAGTTGATGAAAAACAATGGGTTGAAGAGAAAAGAGTTTATCAAACTTCCACCTTCTAAGAGTCGGGAGGTATTCAAATTCAATTTTGTTCATGGCTTGAAGCTTCGAATTCGATAGGATTGGAAAGACTCAATGTATCTATTATAAAGTTCGTTTCTACGACGCTCTGGCATATTGAAACAAACACTCAATAAGCCATTAGGAGCTTGAGGATCAGGATTAGGTTGAGGAGGAACGGGATTAGGATGTTGAGGAACGGGAGGACGGTTTTGGTGAGACCGACTCGAGGATGACCTAGGGCGTTTGGGATTAGACATGGTTAGGGAAATCGGAAAAGAAATATCACCTACAATTTTAAAACACATGTATGCACAACAATTAATCCCAAAACTCAAATGAGTCCTCAATAATTCAAGGTTCTCTAACAAAGTACTAATGGGCAAATTTTTGAAAACTATTTAAAATTAATGTCATAATACGCATAGTTTTCATGAAAACAACACAATTGAATCAGTAATTTTTGATTTTTTTTTTAATTCGAAATTTCAAAAACAATTTTGAAAGATTATGCGTTTTTGATGAAATTCATTGTAGAAACTAGTTTAGAATCATCATATAGCCAATGCCCGATAATTATTTCAAACTAGAACTAATCTAAACTAGTCCTAAGTTCAAAAATTTAATGAAATAGAGTTTTTGTGAAAATACCTTGAAAAATTCGGATTGAGGGGAATGAGGAGATGTTTTGCACGATTTAATGAGTGTAGCAGGTTTGTAGGATAAAAATCTTGAAGAATCCGATGATTTCCCGAAGGTTTTGAGCAAAATGGAGATTTAGGGTGAGAAGGGGACGAACGGCTGTGAGAAGTTTAGAGTTTAGGTTTTGAAAAATAAAGAAGATGAAGCCTTTAAAACCTAAAACCCGACGGATGCATCGGTGCATGGTCTTATGCATCGATGCATATTCAAGGATGAATCGATGCATTGTTAAATGCATCGGTGCATGAAGCACAAAAATGTCAAAAATCCGTTTTAACCACTTAAAGTGCTAAATAATTTGGCTCTAATGGTAATGGCAACTCATATATCAAAAATTAATTATGTTCAATCAATCAAATTAATCTTCAAACTTTATTTGAACATAAAATTAATTTTTATTAAGAATCATAAACTCCCCCTAACTAATAGCAAGAATACAATCAAAAATTATTATTATAAGCATTTTTCAGTATTTATTAGAAGTGCTAAATTATTTTAAACACTAAGTGAAGATAGGTCAATTAAACCTAATTCTCTCCTAAGTGTCCAAAATCTTTCCTTGTCTAAGGGTTTTGTAAAGATATCCGCTAATTGGTGCAAAGTATCAACAAATTCTAGAACTACATCTTCCTTAGTGACATGGTCTCTAATGAAGTGATGTCTTATTTCAATGTGCTTAGTTCTAGAGTGTTGGATGGGATTTTTAGTGAGACAAATAGCACTAGTATTGTCACACTTGATAGGAATGGTACCTCCTTCAATTCCATAATCAAAAAGTTGTTGTTTCATCCATAAAACTTGTGCACAGCAACTACCGGCTGAAATGTATTCCGCTTCAGTGGTAGATAATGCAACACAATTTTGTTTCTTTGAAAACCAAGAAATCAACATATTTCCAAGGAATTGACAAGTACCGGAGGTGCTTTTCCTATTAATTTGCATCCTCCATAATCCGCATCAGAAAAGGCATGCAAGCTAAAGCTAGAGTCTCTAGGATACCAAAGTCCTAAACTAGGAGTGTCCTTAAGGTATCTAAAGATTCTCTTAACAGCTAGTAAATGTGATTCCTTAGGACATGATTGAAATCTAGCACATAAGCAAACACTAAACATAATGTCCGGTCTACTTGCAGTTAGATAAAGCAAAGAGCCAATCATTGACCTATATAATTTAACATCTACACATTTACCTCCTTCATCTAAGTCAAGCTTTGTTGAAGAGCTCATTGGAGTGTTATGAGGTTTCCCATTTTCCAGTCCAAACTTCTTGAGCATATCTTTGACGTACTTAGCTTGATTAATGAAGATGCCATCTTTTCTTTGTTTGATTTGGAGTCCCAAGAAAAATGAGAGCTCCCCCATCATGCTCATCTCAAACTCACTTTGCATTAGCTTAGAAAATTCTTGGCAAAGAACATCATTAGTAGAACCAAATATTATATCATCAACATAAATTTGAACTACTAATAAATCTTTACCTTTTCTCTTTAAAAACAATGTAGTGTCAACCTTTCCTTTTAAAAAATCTTTTTCAATTAAAAAATTTGACAATCTTTCATACCAAGCTCTAG